AAAATTGATAGTGCTTCATCAGCTTCATGTGATCTTCTTCCAGATTGATCAAATTGAATTCGATTAATCAATTCATTTAATTGATTACAAACACCGTGTATCTAATATTAATTTTATTAAGAATAGAATTATTAGAAAATAAGAATTACTTTACTATATTGTTTACCCCATTGTTGATGAAATTCTTTGTTTCCACAATATATATAAATTGAAGAAACTTGTCGAAAAAAATGAATATTAGGTATTAATTGTTGACTAAAATGATCACTAATAATTAAGACAATACGATCTTCAGAAGAAACTGATCGAATATATTTTTCACATTCATCAAGTTTATCGAATGTTCGTAAATAATTAATCGATAGTCGAAGTTTTTCTTGAGTATCAAGAGTTTCTTCAGAATATATTGAAGCATCAAGCCATATAAGAGAATATGTTTCGTAATTAGTATCTTTTCCTATAGAAGGTATTGTTTCATTAGAGGGAGACGGCTGGACAGTAGAGGCCATGGATTCGATTTTTGTTGAAACAAAAATAATCTAAATCAAGCATTCAGTTATACAATTTAAGAATTAATTCGATAAATGTCCAGGAGGTAATGTGAAACATTATGTTTATTATTAAAAATATGCTCAACGATAGACCACATTCAGCAGAAGTGAATAAATATATTTTTTTTAAATCTATGTTGTAAAGATATTTACATGCAGAACAAAAAAAGGACACACCATCCTCTTTCGCTTTCATTTTATCTTTTCGTATTTTCTTATCTATAATTTGTTACATCTCCACTCTGACTCTCTTGAAGATAAGAGTGAGGGTGAGTATGAAGATCTTACTACCACAATCTGGATTTTTATCTAATTGATAGGAGAGAAACATCAAGTTGTGCCAATATCTTAATATTATCGAAATTAACATGAATTAGGCAGATGGGTGTGGATGTTCGTCTTTTCTTTACCAGCACCCACACCCACATCCACACCTAGTTTTCTTTTACAAGAAAAGATTTTTTTGTTACTTTATTTAACTTCAATTTGTCCTTAACATAAGTTTTTTTTTTAATTTCTTGTATGAGACAAAACAAAATTATTTTATATCTTGGTCTTTTTTTTAATGAAGATTATATTTATCTTTGAGTTTTTCTTATAAAACTAAGAATAAGTTATGAACTTGAATGCAGACAATAACTAAGATTAATTCATTTAGACGGTGCTCTTTTTTAATTATACAATGACAAGTCTAACCCAAAACAAACACGAGAAAAGTTCTATTCAACAGATCAAAAATATTCAATGATTTCGGTTATTGATAACTCATTTATTGAAGGAATATTTTAATTCATATTTATTTTTAATCAGTTCTATTAAAATAATAGATAGTATTACTTTTGTTTTTACAGTATCTTTAAACAGATACTTAAGCAATTTAATCATATTATGTTCGATTCTCTTAGTTTAGTGATCATTTATTTAAACTTGACGTATCTTATACAAAAAAAAATATTACAGATTCGAAAAATCATGTACTTCATATCATATTGTATGAGAAAACGAATTATGATCTCGTGAAAAATACTCAGAAATAGATGACTTAATAACATGCGACTGATCTTATTCAGTTAGGTGTCATGAAAAATGGATTAATTGGCAGACATATATTTGACATGTCATACAAAGTAATCAAAACGTATTAAAACTTGCAATTTTTTTGTTCATTATTCGACAAAACAAACCAAGTTTTGTTTCATCGTAAAATGCTGACAAGCACATTTTAGAGGGATGTATTCGCTTGAATGCGTTTATACACGTGCATCCATTTAAACGCATCTATCAACTGCGTTTGAAAGCGTTGTTCTATTAGTAGTTACTTTGACAACCACATTTAAGGATATCAAAGCATGTGTCTCGACGCGGTTTGACTGTATCTAAAAGTTACATTGATGACAGATGTCCGCCAACTTTTCCTTTTCCTTTTTATCATCCGGACGCGATAGTAGCATGTTTTCACTCGCTATGTACACATCTGCTATTGAGTTTGTCTTTCATTTGATTATTCTTGTCAAAAAGAATTATATTATTATCAACGAATGAAAAACAAAGCATATTGCATCAAAGATTATTTTGCTCAATCGTGAACAGAAATTAAAATTCAACGTCTTCTTTTTTTTAATTTTAATTGATGTCTCTTCTAGTCAATATATAAAATTTAACGTATCCTGCTACTGTTATGTCACAGATGTGAGTCTTTGTGTACTTTATGGCTTTTTAGCAATCCACCACAAGGTTCTTCTACATGTTTGGTCTAGTAAATTGAAGAAAAACTTTTTCTTAAAATAGATAATCAACTCGACAGAAAACTGGATTGGTACCTGGTAAGTATCTATGTATGGAGATGATTCTTAGCAGGTTAGCCAACCAAAATTCTATGACTTGCTAGTGAGAGGGTATCCGAAGTGGTATCCTACTGACAACCGACCCGATACACAATGACCTTGAGCTTAGTACATTCAATAGAGTGAGGAATTCAGAGGTTCTTTTAATTATGAATTATTTAATTTGAGGATTATCTGTAACACATTTGATTTTAAAAAAATTTTCAATTTTATTAATATTTTTATTTCAACATTTTTCTTAATTTGATTGAAGATGTCAATTAATAATATCATTTAATTATACATGATCTTTCTTCAAATTAATTTATCTCTTCAATAAATCATGCATTCCATATACATATTTATTGATATTCCCATCAACTTTTACATTAAGAAAATCAATATTTATTATATGTCAAATCACTTGAAATATAAACTCAATTAATATATTTATTGTTGTTTCATTTATTTTTATTTTATGTAGATATTCGAATAAATACAAGAAAAACAAAACTAATTTTAAATGAGAATTAAAGTTACTTGACAATCATTATGAGATTTTAATCTACTATTTCAATTGTTGACCTGTTAATTTTATTAAAACAAGAAAAAAACATTTTATTTTAGCTTCATATTGAAATCAAAATCATCATTAAGATTTATAAAGATCAACTAGAACTTTCTTTTCATCTATTCAATTTATTAATAACCTTTGAATCAGTTTTAATAATAATTATATTATATATTTATATCAAGTATAGCAAAAAATCTGAATCCACGTTCTTCAATTATTTTCCATTGAATCTAATGAATACTTACAGTAGAATCTAAGAAGTAATAAGTTGTACAAGTTGCTTAAGATAGGTTTAAATAATTATTTCTTTCCAAAAAATTTCTAATAGAAATAATAAGTTAACTTATTCTTTAACCCAATGATTTATTTATTTTATTAGACAAAATAAAAAATTTCACTTTGTTCTTGTTATTCATTGATCAATGGAACTCGATGAAAAATAATCTTTCTACTTTTTGACTATCTTTCATCAAGTATTAATTTTCGATTTCAGAGTAAACTTACCTTTTTCCAAGCAATTACTATTGTCCATAAAATTATAATATTCATAAAGTTGAAAGAATGCAAAAAACGAAAATAGGTCTAACAAACAGGAAATAAAAATGCATATTAATTTATCTGACAAGTGCTTGAGTTTATTTAATAATATTAATCCAAATATGGGGATGTAGCTCATATGGTAGAGCGCTCGCTTAGCATGCGAGAGGTATTGGGATCGATGCCCAACTTCTCCAATGGTTATCCTTTTTTTTCAATATTATCATTCAGCAATTAAAAATTATGTAGTTTTTTTTTTCTAAATTTGATTATTAAGTTTTCATACCAAAGTTTTATTCTATATGGAAGAAAATTAGCAGCATCACAATCGAAATCTGATACTTTAATACATTCATGAACTGGTCTTTGAATCTTGACTCAGTTTTTTTTCGAAAAAAATGCGAAAAAAATCCTACATTTGAAACGAGCTGACAAGAATATGTTTTATAAATTGATTTATGTCAATGTTGATATGTAATTTTTTTTAATAATATGACACGGGGATGTAGCTCATATTGAAACTATTCAAATAGTCATGTTATATTCTATATTAACTAATATGATATATTTGAATATGATTGTAAAAATAACTGCATAATATATGATCAAAACAATGGTAGAGCGCTCGCTTAGCATGCGAGAGGTATTGGGATCGATGCCAATATCTATTCAAATACCATCAAATCCTAGTTTTGTAAAGATATTCTTCATAAAAACAAACGTATACAGATTATAATCGAAAAATTCTTCCAACTTCTCCAATGATTACTTTTTTTTTCATTCTAATATATATGTCGTTAAAAAATTGAAAAATCATTACTTACGTCGAATCTTTTATCTTCTACATTATATTTTTGGAATTGTTCAACTACTTAATAAAAAAAAAAAAGATTCGTTCTTCGTTCAACAACGTCAATGATGTATAAGAAATTTGTTTTGAATAGAAGAACAGTTTTTTTATTGCAAAAAGATAGAGAAACGTCCTAGTCAATTAAAGAAATATTTCATAGAATAAATGACATATTTCCTAATGTGACGACAGTTTTAATCAACGATATAAAAATATGTCATCATTCTTTATCGATAAATTGTCGAAAGAAACGAATGAAAAAAAAACTGGAGAAGTTGGGCATCGATCCCAATACCTCTCGCATGCTAAGCGAG